CAGCAGTGAGCTTTTTAGCAGACAAGGATGACAAGGAGGCTTAATGAAAAGGTTTCTATTCTCTCGTCTCCATGGACAAACATAAATAACAGAGAGAACACAGGGAGACGGTAGTAAAACACCACTTCAGCACCAATATAATCACAGTGACTGAAAAGATAAAGACTTAAAATCTGCCCCTAGAGGCCTGGGGCACTTCTGTTGTGTGACTGGATGTGCAGCGTTTTCTTTTTGTTTGTGTATATGTACGTCTTTTGCCCCTGTCGGCCAACATACAAATCTGCCAAAAAATGAAGCATTTGCACTAAAAAGATTCCACAAAAAACAAAAGATTAGTGTTTCTTGGACATTTCTGACTGAGCCGTGACCAACAGTCTTGCAACGGAAATTCGAGGACTATTCGGCTGAACTGCAGGCAGTGTTTCCACAGAGCAGATTGGAGTTTAGAACGGTAACAAATTAAAAGCAAAGGTGGTAAAATATGTGGAGTCACCTTTGTGTCCCAGTCTTGGTAACAGGGTGGGTGCCTGTTGCACAAGTTGATTCCACTTCAGAGATATTCTGTAAAACATATAGTCAAAGATATTCTGCTTTGTTTTGGTATGATTTATGGCGTTGTAAAATCCTTATATTGCACCAGACATTTATGAGTTCTCCCCACTTCTAGCCATGGTTGTGCTGTTTACATAGAGGACTTTCTATTGCAGCTAAAGACGAGCCAACATAAATACAAATCTGCTGGAGGCTCCGAGGGTTCGGTTGCTTAGAAATTACTCAAATTCCACAAAGAGAAGTTTTCAGGGGGTGGGTTGAACTCTCCTCATTATCTAGTCTCCTGTAGCCAGAGGACAAAACTAATTTTCTACTTCAATCTGCTGCTGCTTATTTGTCGCACACCCACTCATCCTCTTGTACTTCCATCTAATTAATCACCTTTAACTGCCACTGAACACACCGAGGCGACAGAGCGTGACCCGGATCGCGTTCGGCGTCCTGTTCGACCTCCCGTGACACATGCAGAAGAGGCGAGGGGTCGAGGTTTAACGCCGCGGCGGCACCTCTTTGCTCGTTTTAATGCGACGTGCGGAGATTAACGCGGACGTCCTGTCACAGCACAAAACCTCCTGACGCAAATCTGAAGAGGCAGGCGAGCGCCGGACGAGCCTCGAACATTTCTGCTCGATAAATTGACTTCGGGGACATGAAATCGATTACTGTTGTGGTTCCGACACGGTCACGCAGTCCAAAAAAAAGGGAGCTTACAGATGAATCACTGTGGTTTTTTTTTGATTCCCTGTGAGACCAGAGGAGAAGCCGAGCACACGCGTGAGCAAACGGCAGCAAAAGGGAGCATGAAGACCAAAGTAATGATCTGAAGCAACATTCATTTTAGCACACGGACAGAAAGGAAGGAGGGGGAAAGCTGTAAAGCATCTGGGATGGATTCCTCGTGGGGTCCAGTATCTTAGAGACCTCTGCTGCTCTGCGCAACATCAAGAGGGATTTGGTTGCCATGGCGGCAAGTCTTTCCCCCACAAAGAGAGAAATGTTACACAAAGATCGAGAGAGCGAGCACAGTTTGTCCTGACTGAGACAACAATGATGATGGTGCAGATTAAAAAAAAAAAAAAACCTTGAAGAAAAATCCTCAGAAGATCTTATTAAATGATAGACAAGTGTAGCACCAAGTGTTCAGCTCTGAAGTGTAAATGCTGCAGGTGTGGATTCAAGATAAAGCTTCTTCACTTTTTGCATCAACATTAAGACAGCAGCGATGAAAAATGCAACAGCCCAGTCAAAAAAAAAGGCGCTCAGATCAAACAGCCCAAAGCTTTGATCAGTGTTGGTATGACGGCAAAACATGATGTTTATGTGCATTTGATTTTTTTGCTTGTGTGAGGATCTGGTTGAGCAGAATGTGTATTTGATCACTGGATGGATGGTTCTGCACGTGTCCAAAGAGAAACCTTAGAAAACATTTACTGTGAAACGGGTCAGAGAATTATGCAGCGCATTGTTTTGGTTCAATCTCATTAACCTTGTTTCCAGCAGGCAGCTTGTTTTCAATCATGTTCAGTTTAATTGTCTTTTTTTCCCACAAGAAAAGACTCTTTAGTGCCAAAGTTAAAACTGATTTTTTACAGTCATGTCAATCAGTTAAACATTAAATATGTAAAAGAAATGATTGCATGTCTTCATCCCCTTGGAGTAATTCCCCTAATTGAAAAGAGGTGCAGCCAATTGGTGCTGGGAGTCAAACGATTACTGAAATGGAGATCATCTGAGTGCAGTGAAGGCGTCCAATGTGATTTAAGTATAAAGACACCTGGAAGGTCCAGTCACTGGACTCCTGGCTGTATCTGTACCATGAAGACAAAAGAAGGAAACTACAAGCAACTCTGTGAAAAGGTCGTTGAAAGGCATTGGTCAGGGGATGGATACAAGACTAAGTGAACATCCATCATTAAGAAATAAAAGGAATATGATTTGTCGTCCTCAAAATCTGAGAGACACTAATGAATTTGGCCACCAACCACACCGATGACTTCTCTGAAGGAGTTATGAGCTTCAGTGGCTGAGATGGGAGAGACTGTGCAACAACAATTGTTTCCTGTTCTTCACCAGTTAAAGCTTTACAGGAGAGCAGCAAAGAGAAAGACACTGTTGATAAAAGCTCATATTAAATCTTGACTAGAGTTCTCCAGAAGGAATGCGGGAGACTCTGATGTCAACGAAAAGAAGGTTCTTTGGTCTAATGAGACCAAATTGGGCTTTTTGGCCTTCAGACTGAATGTTTGGTGCAGCACATCATCACAAATGCACCATCCCGACTGCGAAGCATGGTGGTGGCAGCATCATGCTGTGTTGATGTAGGGTAGAATAAATTCAGCAAAGTATAGAGAAATCCTGTTGGACAACCTGCTGCAGTCCACGAAAGAACTGCAACTTGGAAAAAGATTTGTTTTCCAGGAAGACAATGAGCTGAAGCATACAGGAAAAACTACACAAAATGGTTTTACGACAACAAGGTGAATGTTCTGGAGAGCCAGGACCTTAATCTGAACTTGAAAAGGGCTGTTCATTCATCATCCTCATGCAACTGACAGTTTTATGAAGAATACTTGGGTAAAATTACAGTGTCCTGATGTACAAGGCTGACTGAGGCCAATCCATACAGGCTCAATGCTGTAACTGCTGCCAAAGGTGAATCTGCTAAATACGGATTTCAACAAGGTGAATACTTATGCAAACTCTTACTTTACCTTTAATGTTTTTAAATAAATGACATTACTTTGTAGAAATCTTTCTTCACTTTGACATAAAAGAGTCATTTTTTTTGTATGTTTTTGTCCAAAAAAAGCCAGATTGAACCAACCATGACTCAGCGTTGAAAAACACAAACAGAAAACCTTCCAATGTGGGGTGAATAGTTTTTTATAGGCGCTGTGCATGAATGCATCATGTGATATACATTTGTAGGCATGCTGCAGAGATTATTTCTGCAATTATTCTGATTTGATTAAGATGCTTTTTTCCGTGTTTCTAGTTGTTTTCCACCATTGAACAAAATATCTGTAAAATAACAGTGAATTGCTCCCCAACATGTCAAAAGTACTCATTTTTTACAGTGTGACACATGAGAATCTACAGTATATCTGCAGGATATGAACAAGCTTCTCATTTTTGTCCATGATGACCACTGTGAGGAACACCCCGAAGCTCTAAAAGATGCCCAACCTCAGCTCTGCCAGCTCCGAGCTCTCAGCCATCTGTTGCAGCTCTGTGGGCAGCAGCTTCAGATGACGGGTCAGAAATAACCAGGTGCCGTGATGGAGACCAAAAAAAACAGGGCAACCGACTGAATGCTGGCACCAGTTTCTACCCGATTGGTTTCTAAAAATACTCTCCTTTTTTCCATTTCAGATCCAGGAAAGATGAAGCAGGAAAGACTTCTCAGGAGATGGAAATTCAATGTGAGCCAAATGTTCAACCCCCCTCTGATTTTTCCATCAATTTTACAGTTGCCCCTCACATATGAGGTGACAGACTATCTTGCCATCATCTAACAGAGATGATTGGACTTGGGATTGGTTAAATGGCCCTTTTGGACACATAAGAGTGTAAATGACAAGGACTGCTTATCTACAGGGAGGTAATGGTGTTTATATGTGTGGGAGAAAGTGGCACCAAAAATTCAACTACTTTTCACGTTTTGTCATGGAAACCAGGAGACTCCAGCGCTCTCCCTGCATGTGAGTGTAGGTGTATGCGAGTACTGAAGGGCTATATCTGGCTCTACATCCTCCTTCTGCACTGAAAAGGTGAATCTGTGCCTTCTGAAGCGCACTGCCTCCCTGCCCACAACAACCTAAGCTTCCAAAATAGCATTTCACACCACAGGCCTGCAATCTGTGCTCCGCTGCTGCCTCCTATTAAAGCATAGCTCCAATATTAGCCGTGCCTAATGATCTCCAGGGGGGGCCTGTGAAGCTGTCAAAGCACAGAAGGGAGTGGAGCATGCACAGAGTGAAGGAATCCGCTGTATGGAATCTCAGGAGACAAATGTCAAGAGCTGAAATGATGCCAGAACCACTGTTCAGTTTAACATGGAGAGGAGAGGATGTGATAGAAGCAGGTTCCTGTTGATAAACTAGGCCTGGCTGGCTGTCCATTCGTGAACTGAATATCAAATAGAGCTGCTTCTAGAAAGAGTTGCGCACCAAAAGATAGCAAAGTTCCCAGCGTGACTAATATGTGAGCTGGATATGAAGAAAATCCATCCACTCGCTCTGCATTGTTACGCATACATTTAAATCCAAAGCGACAGAATCCCTGCAGCTTTAGAGCAGAGCTGACAAGACAGCGCAAATTATTTTCAATGCAGACTTGTTGCTCAGCTCAGAGGATGACGAATCATAGCGAGGAAACACACAAACACACAGCAAGAACAGACGCAATATTTAAAGATTTTACAGTTTGGTAATATTTTACGCACGTACCTTGTGCAGTTTCCACATTGCGCCCAAAGCTTTGACCTCGTGTGTTCCGTGTTTTCCTTCCTCCAAACACTGATAGCACACCGGCATCTTACACTGCACACAGTACATGCTGAGATTCTCCAGTTCGTGCTCTGTGCAAGTGGAGATTTTGCGCGGACTGGCGCGGCGGCTTATCCGCCCCTGCGCCGGCGGCACCAGGCGATGCTTGGCGAGGGGACCGCGGGGAGGGTGGCAGCGCAGGCGGCACGGATCGCAGTAGAAGACGTCGCACTGCTCGCACATGACCGTGGCCTCCTTCGGGCTCTTCTCGCACAGCTGACACTTGAGAGCGGCCGCCTTGCTCTGCTGATACCGGTCCACCACCCCCTCCAGCACCCGGTTCTTGGGGAATCCGCGGAGCCCCCGGTCGTCCAGGATCAGGCTGCGGTGACACTGAGGGCAGGTGATGCAGGAGTTGCGGGGGATCGGAGGTAAGGAGCCGGGCTGCGGGAGAAGGTGCTGCTGCTGGGCTGGAGGCTGAGGGACAGTCGGAGGGAAAACCCGGACACCGTTTGGCGATTTTTGGCAAGGGGTGGTCGGAGCGCTGACGAAGCCCCCGTAGGAGCCGTAGCCACTGTCCGCCTCGCTGTACAAACTCATTTTATCCAAATCCAGGTAATCATAGTCGGACACGCCGGATCCGGAGGCTCGGCTGCTCTGCGGAGACTCGGCGTCGGGGGTCTGCACGAGAATATTCCGAGCGCAAGCCAAGCAAATGTTGTGGGAGCACGGCAGGATGATGGGCTCCCGGTAAAACGAGCCGCAAACGGGGCATTTTAACTCTTCCTCCATTTCATCCATGACTGCTGCTGCTGCGAGGTGGGAGATTCCTCTGTGGAGAAGTTACAGCAGAGCTAACTGAGCTGCTCTGTGTTGGTGCGTAAAAGCTTCTTCCCGGCGCGTCCTGCTGCTGGAACTGCAAGTGCAACCTTGACCAGAGGAAAGACACCAGCACCGAGGAGGCGGGACAAAGCGCTCTCCACCAATGAGCAAGCAGCAGCAACTCAGACTGGCTTCCTATTGGACGGCCAGTGGATTCCACACAGCCATTGAATGAGCGAGCTGTCCGTGTGGAGGCGCTTTAATGAGCTTCACAACAAGATACAAGAAGATAGTTGTGTCTGCAGACATCACTGGCTAATTCCAATTGTTTAGAGGATTAAAGGAAAACAATAAAGTAAACAATAAATCACGGAGTACATTAATAAAATATCATCACACATGCATAATACTGTATAAACTTAACATTCTTCCATTGTGTGCTTCTATGAGAAAAACTGAAAATATTGTGTTTTGTTTGAGACAATTCCCCCCTAATCCGATTACTTTAGTGGTGGAATTAAGTGTTCAGAGTGTTTACTTAATGAAGAACAACAATGCAAACATTTAATTACAAGTGCAAATCCAGCAATATCAGCAGATTTCATTTAAGTATCAAAAGTAAAACCATGATTCTCTGATATTACAACACCGGATTACTGTTGTGCACCATTTTAATGTTTAGCTCCTCCATAAAGTGCAGTGGAGTTCAATTTATCACAACGTGTCTGAGTTTTATAAGCTCATTATGTTTGTGTCCAAAAATCCCAGTCAGCAAAAAACACAGCTGCAACTAATGATAAGTGCTTATTAGCATTTTTACTGTTTTGATTAATCATTTGGCTGTTTTGCATTTAAATTGTCCAGAATGCCCATTACAGCTCCCAGAGCTCAGGGGGTGACAACTGTTAATTGCTTCTTTTTTTTCTTGTCTAACCAATACACAAAAACAAACTCTGAAATGTTCTGCAATGATATAACAGTGAGAGAAGCAGCATTTTTTTCACATTTCAGAAGATAAAATTGGGAAATATTAGATATTTTCACTCAAAAGGGACCAACTTATTTACAGATTCTCAAAACAAAGAAGTTTGTTTTAGCACTAAAGCTGTCATATAAATGCAATGGTTTAAAAAAAAATAAGTAATAATAATAATAAGTAACAAGCAATGTACCTGCATATAAAACTTCATGAAGTGGGATTAATGTAGGACACAAATTAAGAAGCATTGCATGACTGTGAAAGCTGATCTAACAGGTGCTCTTTAGTGTGACAGGTAAGAATACAAAAAAGAAAGATCAAGGAAGTCTGGCTTGCTGTTAAATGCTGCAGACAACCGTTGGATAAAGCACTTTGAGAGAAATAGTAGGTTAAAAATCAGGTTTTTACTTTGTTAACAAGTTTATTTATTTTTGGTTTTTTACATACTTTAAAACACATCATGAGCAAAACAATAACAAACCTAAAGAATCAATCCTGTCAGCTTGCAGGGTGGGACTTTCTGTATCTATAATCTTCTTCAGAATTGGTTCTGAGCATGTATGGCTGAATTATTCCAATATAACTACTTTGCACAATGTAGAGTAGTTTTGCAGAGTTTGAGGAGCGTTGTAGGTGAGCTGGTGTGCTCGAGCTACAGCGAGTCATAAAGGGGCAGGTGCAGAGTTACAATAAAGCCAAGGTAGGGAGGGATTATTTAATAGAAAAAAAAACTTCATAACTTAACTTACATACTTAAATGTGTACCTCCAACACAGAGATGAGTTCTTAGAGGTTAAATCATGAAGCTTTCAGTCTCCATCGGGGTCACTCTTTTTGCCCATGTGCTCAAAGACTGAATTAATATTTATTACTTCACCTAATGTGCCTTTGTTTTTTTCTAATGGTGATCTGCAACATTTAATGTTTAACATTCAACATAGATGTGGTGCTTTCAGAGGTTTGGGAACTTCTGATGTTTTTTGTTTTTTTTTGCAGATGATGTGGTTCTGTTGGCTGCATCAGTCCACAACCTTTAGCGCTCACTGGGACATGTTTCCTGCCAAGTGTAAAGCAGTCGAGATGAGAGTCAGCACCTCCAACTCTGAGGCCACGGTTCTTTGATGGAAACTAGCAGATTGCTCCCTCTGGCTTGAAAGTAAGTAGCTACCTCAATGAAAGAGTTGAAGTATCTCTGGATTTTGTTCACAGGTGACGGGAAAATGTAGCTTGAGATGAACAGGGGAGTTGGTGCAGCATCAGCATAAAGTGTGGGCGATACATCAGACCATCATGGTGATGAGGGAGCTGAACAACTAGTTGGTTTAGGTTTCAACCCTTGCCTGAGGTCATGACCTCTGAGTAATGTGGATCAGTGGTTAAGACTTTGGACTACTGATCAGAAGGTTGAGGGTTCAAGCCCTGTCATGGTAGAGAATAGAGATGGAGAATATTTAAAAACTTACTGATGAAGAAAGGGCCACATGCTCAGCCTAAAGGAACATGTCCACCAGATCTGTCACTTTAACGGCACCCATTCATTGCCTACATGAGCTGCCATGCAATGTGTTCTGGTCGTGTCGCATTGCGTTTCAAGGGACAAAATAATGAAGACAGATTCAGTTTATGATTTATTTCTCACCTCAAACACATTTTGGTGAGAACTGTCGAGCTAACTAGTCTGGTTTGAAATCCAGGAGCAGCCAGGCCACCGTGTGAAGGATTCATCCGATCAGGTGCAGCCAGTGATTGATTTTGTGTTGGAGGGTGAAGCTTGTATTGGATTCCTGTTGAAGAGCAACGGACAGTCGTACATCATGACATTACTGAGTTGTACAGTTGAATGGTGGGAAGCGGTGCGTCTAAATGCCCCTCTGGACACGAAACATTAGAGATCAGACCAGAGTAGAAGGGCTTCTTCTTCAAGTTAAAACGAGCCAGCTGCAGTGGTTTGGACATCTGATCAGGTAACTTCATTCTGAGGTTTTCAGGACAAATCAAGAGGAGACCCATGGTGGACCTACAACTTTCTCTGAAGGTATTACATATCTCATCTGGCCTGGAAACACCTTGGGATGCCTGGGATGAACTGGAAAACATTGGTGGGGAGATGGACCTCTGGAATGACCTGCTGCCACCGCGACCCTACCCTGGATAAGCAGAAGAAAATGGAGGGATGGATGTACTTGGATACTTTCCACATCTGATTGTCAGGCTCACAGGTAGGCTCAGGCTCAGGCTATAGATGATCTTACAATCAAGATCTGCATATAGAAATCCTGTTCCAGTATAAAACTGCAGCATTTTATCTGTTTGTTATTTGAAAAGCCTCTGCAGTGGGAGCACAGATCACTCCTTCAGCACACTGAAAACTGACACCTTGTGAGATAAGATAAAGCAGCAGCTTTCCACTGCACTCAAGGGTTTTTTTTTTCTTTAGAGCCTCTTCATTTCTATGGCCAAATACCTCAGTCATGTCTGAGACATCCATGGCAACGTGAGGGCCTACTTTTAGTCTTCGGTGCGGCTGTTGATAGGGAAATGAAATGGAATAATCCCATTTAAAGGAATGCTTGTGTCTCAGACCCACGGAGGGCAACGTGAGGCCACTCAGTGTGATTACATTTGCATATTCTCTAGAGAAGGTTGAGAATAGGAAGAGCATTAATATGGAGGTTTTTGTTACATAACAACAGGCTAGCAGTAATGTCTATTCTGTGCCTAAGATCGATGAAGAAATGCACAAGAGAACTGAAATATATTGTGCTCTTGAACGTGACACTACCAATGAGTTGCCTGTTTTCTTCCTGGGCTGCCTGTGCTGTTAATGTTTCTGCTCATTATCCTCTAAGATTTGTGAAAATATACAACAAATGGCAAGTTTATCCGTGTAAATACATGCCTGGATTAAACCGAATACAATGCAGATTCAAACCAAATGTTTGTAACAAGTCCATCAGCTATTTTTGGATGCGTGCTCGCCGACGCCTCCAGCATGATGACATTGTTCTCTGTGTAATCTCCTCAGTTTGGGGCCACACTGCAGCTTCCTGTTTGCCGCCTTTGAGTACAGTGCTAAATCTCTATTTCATCGCTATTTTTTTCTTCTTTTTCTTTTTGTTGTTCAGTGCCAACGCTCTCCTGCTGCCAGGACACACACAACCACACATAGACGCACTCACCGGGCGGCTCTGAGAGAAAATCTTCACAGATTTCCTTTTTACTTTTCTCTGATCACATCCCAGAGTGCTCCTGCTTCTGTGATTAAGCTGCTGTTTCCAGTGACCTCATGTGCACCAAGACAGAACAGTAAAGACACTGACTGGCTTGAC